GGGGGGGAGGGGTTGGACGACGCAGGGGGGCATCCTCTTTAGCAAGAGGAGGGGGCAGCTTTTGCACACACACAAAAAAAGACCCCCACAAAGGAGAGAAGAAGCAAGCCGCGGGTGGGTGTTGCACACGCCCCCTCCCCTTGAAAAGGGACGGGGACTCCGCTGGGTGCATCGGAGGTAGACCGGTCTCTCTCTCTCTCTCTCTCTCTCTCTCTTCCCGCCCCCCCTCCAAAAAAGAACAGGGCATTCCTGGAGCCCCGCCCCTTTTGGCTTCTTTCCAGCTTCCTGTTTGACGTCAAGCGCTGAATCTCTCCGGGTTCTTTTTACAACTTCAGTTGCGGAGTGTGTGTGTGTGTGTGTCTTTGTTTGTGTGTTTCTTTCCCCCCCCCCATGTAATCTGAGCAGCAGCCCCCCCAAAAGATTCCCTGCAACCTTTTCTCTTTTTTTTTTCCTTTCCTTTTTTTTTCTTTTTTTTGGTGGGGAAAATTTCCTCTGTTTTTATTGTCGGAAGGAACTAAGATTTTGGATATATATATATATATATATATTTGTATTTTATTTTATTATTATTATTATTTCCCCTCCGCCTTTCCCGGAGGAGGAAGAGGAAGATGGGCTTCCCGGCGGCTCGGCGAGACTCGGCGGCCCCCGGCGTGTGCGGCCGACCCGCAGAAGGACGGACCTTAAGCGAGGACTGAGCGTGCAAGCGAAATGGGACAGCGGCCGCGGTCGTGCCCGGGATCTTAAGCGCGTGCATCGATCCTTGGACTAACTGTCACCGGGTGGTTTTTAAAAAAAAAAAATCTTTTTTTTTTTTTTTTGCAACCAGACCGGGTGCCTCCGAAGCGGGCGCACAACACACACACACTCACACACACACGTACAGAGTCACCCCTGCAAGGCGTGTGGTGTGTGTGTGTGTGTGTGTCTGCGCGGTTTTTTTTTTTTTTTGCTGGTTCCGTAACTTCTGGGAAATCGGCAATGGACAAAAAACAAGGTAGCGCTTATGTTGCAATTGCAAATTAATAATAATAATAATAATAACAAGAATTGTGTGGCTGCGGGGAGGGGGGGAGGAGGAGGAGGAGGGAGGGCGAGAGAAGGGGGCTGCTGCGATCCGAGTTTTCTCCTTTTCTTTTTTTCTTCTTTTCCCTGTGCAAAGGTTAAACACGCCCGTTTCTGCAGCGGTGGCGTGGGGTGATGGGGGGGGTTTTGAAAAGTTAAAATATGCACGGGGGGGGGGGGGGG